TACCTTTAAGAAAAATATTCCTAAGTATATTCCTAATTAAAATTTAAAATATATAAAATATAAACTTAAAATTATAAAAATAAAATAATGAACAGAATCATCAATAAGTTTAAAATCCGTTGCACAAAGCACTTTAAAACACTGCAACCAGCAAAAATGGACAAATAATTTAGGACTGTATAAATAAATTAACATAAAAAGAAATTTGTTTTTCATTGGCATTTTCATCAGGAAAAACGGGTGGCTTTTTAAATAAGTATATTGCATGAAAAAAATAATAGATAATATATATACAAGAATTACAAGTTATATAATAAGTAACCTCCAGTGAATCAAGTGAAAATTCAATATTGGTGCAATGTAGATTCGTTTATTATATGTGGTTTGAGACATTTCAATGAACATGAATGTATGAGAATAAATAATGTATTAAATAAAATAATGTTATGAAATACATTATCAAAACATGAAATGATTTTTATATGAAAATGAATAAATGATAGCTCACTGTTTGTTCGATAATCATTCTCATTATCTAACTAATGCTTTCATTTCAATTTCAAATTGTCCTCAATATTTTTTTGAATTAAATTGAAATATGTATTATGCACACTAAAACCTCCTAATTTGTACATAATTATAGTTAGATATGTATATAACTAGAAATAAAAAATGGCAGATTAAGAGATCAATAATAATACAAAGGATATTATAAACTAATTAAGTAATTTTATTTAAAGAGTATTATCATTCGTTTGGCACAACTGGGAAACATCATCTCAAACCACTAATGAAATTCCACCAAAATTGTACAATGTAGCTAAAATAATAACTGAAATCCATTCCACTACCTCTAGACTTTGTTCAATATTGGTTCTGATGTTTTTTTATCTCTTTCTATCTATCTCATGAAAATATCCAGAATGTTTGAACATTTTTCAGTATTTTTTGAGTTTACTCAACTAGTCTTGAAAACTTAATTACTGTAACTACCATATTCATTATGATCTCAGTATTTCATTGCACTTTGCTAAAAGAGTATCAAATGAATTACTGAGAGTGAAACGCAATACGGCCAACTCAACTATACCTATCGCTGGGGGTATATACCGTGTTTTCATTGGAGAACACTACATAGGCAAAGTATTCGGTCGTGCTCGGTGCTAGCAGCTACGTAGAGTTGGGAGAGGGGCTAGCAGCTACGTCAAATAACGATATCGCACGAGGTTAATGTCCTATGTACGGACTAGACGTGAAAGCACGGTAAATAGTAAATCATACCATGATTACCAAGAGACTAAAATGTCTCATTCAATCCAGAGGGTTTCGCCCGGGGACATAACCACTCCGGAGATTTAGTCACTTTAGTCCCACAGTATGATCATTATTTTTTGCAATCTCGGGAGAACAACAAACAATAAAATTAAGTGAACTGTCAGAGTTTGACAAGAATCAGTCGATTATTTTGTCAGTTTCCTGACCTACAGTAAGTACACACTTTAGTCCCGTAAGTGCAAAAAAGCTATGAATGCTACAACATTTTGTATTCAATGAAATCCCCCAAACCAGAAATCGAATGACATGAGTGGCAACCTATCATAACTGATCAAATAAATTGGATACCTCTATATGAATATTTGCTAACAAAATTTAGAATACGAGATTATGTAATTTTGTCACCAATTCAGAAGTTTGTGAATTTGACAATCTATTGAAATTTTAGGACCCAGTTGAAACATGAATTCATGAACACTGATTGTTGCTTTCTTCAACTGTAATTAAATTTAGGCCGTGTCTATTCATCGGCGCGCCCCGGCATATACAGTGTGTTTAGTTTGCTCTACCCCACCCCTATACTTTCGTATTCCTAGGACGATTCAAGAATTTTTTTCCTCATAATATACTACTCAAAATTATCTACTTTGAAGAGCAAACAAATTATCAAACATAATTTCTTGGCATACTGCGATCACAAAAACTTCAGCAAAATTGAAGAAAACGGATTAGGCATTTCTTCACAAGAATTTTGATAATGGCAATCGATTCGGACTAGCCACATATACTCCGATATCAATTTTCAAAACAATTTCTCCTAAGGGGTGTTTATTATCAACGTTACAATTCTTGAATAAGTGAATATTTCAAGTCACCGTGTATGATAATTCTTTCAGGAATTTAAATAATACCAGACATAAAGATAGTCAGGATTAGATCATCTGGGTAAAGAGTGAAAAATTCAGGACAAGAAATAGAGGGGAGATGCGACAAAGAATAATAAGTTTACAGATAGATACCACCAGAAGAACTGAGGAGAGTTGAAAATAACGTGCGAAAGAGATATGAAAAGTGTAGGTACAGAGGATGAAGGAGAATACAAACATCTGAATTCGTTATGAATGGTTGCTGTTCTAGTTTTTTTTCTTCTAATTTTTTAATGATATTTTTTAGTTTTTATTATTTAGTTTTCTCATCTTCTTTCCATTTCTTCATAGATAATTCAAATTTTAATTGATTTTATTCGTTACTTTTCTCACTCTGTAGACATACTATAATGCCTGGAATAATTGAAATTCATATAAGAATCATTATACACGGTGACCTGAGAAAGCAAATTATTCAAAAATTGTGATGTTGAAAAAAAAAGCACCCCTTATGAGATATTGTTTTGAAAATTGATATAGGAGTATTTTTGAATTTTTTTTTCATGTTCTGGTTCCCAGAAATGGGGATATCCTGTAATGTTCAGAGAACATCGTGAAAAAATAATCACAATAATTGCTATACGATGCGTAATGCATAATGGTTGTGATGGAAAGGAAACTTAAACATAAACAACTACATAATAACGTAATATAAGGATAAGATAAATATGTTTTCTATATAAGAAATGAACCTACTTTTTCTGAACAATTTAACCTAACTCTGCCTAAATGAACCTTCCAAAAAGCTATATTCTTCGGAAAACTACTAGAAAGAATGAAAGAGACGACTCTTTATAAACAATCTAACCTAATTCGGCCTAGATGAACCTTCTTCGTTGAAAATATATTCATAAAATTAGAGAAAGAGAGAGACAGCGAGAGAAATGGGAGAACATTAAAAAAGTTGTCCTTCGCAAGGACTGAACCCCGGGCTGCAGGCGTGACATGCTGGACGCTTGGTTCATTGTAGAGTCTGACCACATCAAATTTGGGAAACCACGTGACTAAACGCATATGCATATTCAATGCATAGACAACCACATGCTGTCTCAGGGCTAACGTGGTCGGACTCTACCACGAGCTCACTTGATAAAAATTTACGTTTGTAAAAATGTGCAAATAGATGGATAGCAAATGTAGTGAACGCCCCGATGTTTAGACAAAAATATTCTATCCGTCAAGCGGAATATGAGCATGCGTGCAAATGTATATGTATATGTCGGGGAGACCCGATGAATAGACACGGCCATAAATTCATTTTATTTTGTGGAATTAGCTAGTTCAACTACCTTCTCAAACTCAATTTTTATGACCAAAAAACAGTTTGCTGGATGAAAATATATATGCATGTATTTTAACATCCACTGTTCACATTATTAAAGTTAGTTTCATTTATTGTTTTCAAAGTCTAATTTGAATAGTCACTTTCCAGAAATTTCAACCAGATCCTGAAAAAAAAAACGAGACTTCAAACAGAATCGTGTCTGTGGAAGTTGCAATGCTACTTATATTCATAAGGTGATACAAGCTGGCCATCTTTTCAAGTGCCTAATATAGTTTGACTATATCATATGTTATAAATAGATCTGAGTACTCCGGTGAAGTTGAAATCATTCATATTAATAATATTTTGCATTTCGCTCCAATACCAATTCAGAGTAAATTACTGTATAATTTTGGAACTACCTATTCCTCTGTGGATACAAAAAACCCATCTTTGTAATTTACATGGATAACTGACAGCAAAATGTGTTCTCAATCAAGTAAATTTATCAAGAAAACAAAAAAATAACCAATGTTTCTGTTAGTTTTTAGTTTATTTTTGCTTGAAATTTTGCATATGTATCAAATATTGTATCCTGAGTAATTCTAATCAATGAATATTTTCGTAATTTATCGATTTGTTGAGTATAGCTAGAAAAAATACTTTTATTCAAGACCGGGAGTAAAGTAGCCACTTTACCGCCTGGATATGCGGGCGTAAAATGTAACTCCCGCGGCGTATAAATAATTCGTGAAAGGCTTTCCTGTATAATTCAGAACATCATGTCTTACTTACACGCTGCAGTCCATAAAAGCCTACTTTACTCCCTTGATACATAAAGAACTGTTTTTGGGGTTAGCGATTTTATGCATTATAGAAACTCACACCCAATTTGAAGTTTGATAGATGTTTCTATCAGTGACTTGAATATACATCTCAATAATTTTTTCTGGTGTTCTGACGAAATGTTTGCATCTTAGGCAAAATATAGATTTGGCACAATTAATTTGCAATCGAATAACCTAGAATTTTTCATCAGTGACAATCTGTTGAATGAAATTCAGGGTTTGAGGGATTTTTTGAATCACCATTAAATCTCAATTAAGTTTTGCTGACTGTGGTCGAGCACACAAATATTTCTCAATATTACCACAACACTATTTCTTCCTATAACGATAACTATATAACAGATGGTGATGATGATAGCATCAGAACCAATATTGTCGAAGAAAATAATTAATTCTCAAAGATTGTGGAGGCACCCATTTCAGAAGTTGGTATAGACTGAAATGACTTTCAGCTAGCTGACTTCTAAAAATAAATAAAGCTGTCTTCTAATTTGTTCCGCGAAAGTCAAGTGAATAGACGTAAGTAATAAACAAGGATGGAAAGTAAAAATACAATAATTATTACTGTATCACTACGTAATATTCTTAAAAAAATAGATAATCGTTTATGCATATGATGTATGATGAATATGATGATGCCGTTTTGTACGAGAGTGTATGTACAGGTAGCAGAAAGTACTATCACTGCTATTGCGGCTGACCTGGATTGTGAGGCAAATTGGTAGGTGGCCCCTGGAAATTCACAAAAAACAAACATTACCCAATGAAATGAACATTACGTGGACCAACACAACACCAACACCAAATAGTGAAGTGGCATAGTAGAAAAACTCATAACAATTATTGTGTATTCTGTGATACAAGCATGCAATTTTCACTATTGTTCTTACATAATATGAACTCGACTTTAAGATATTGGTGCACTTTATATTCCATCTCTAAGAAAATTTTATTTACCACTGATCGAGCCAATGATCACATATTATGTATCTATATTTCGACGGCTACGAGCGTTCTTTCCAGAAATTATTCTTCAACTCCAACATTCTTGCAGAATACGATATGTGTCATTGAAGCCCAATCGATATGAGACCCCGGTACGGGACAATACTGATCACTGAAGGTGACTAGGAACAGCCCTAACAGCCTTCCACCTCCCTCGTTGCAGCGCAACGGTCCTCATATTCAAAAAGTCCACATGGGGCTTGTGACTTTAAGAGTCGGTTGCTTGAGGGGGGAAAAACTTTGAGATGCAAGACAATCCGCAGGGACTGACGTCTAGAATCTGGAGTGTCATTGAAGTTGGATACATTTTGATATCCAAAACCCGACAGCATATACATTATAGTTGTATCCTGAAGAAACTTGAAGAAACGTTGATATTATTGTTGCCACTAATAGAAATCGAGAATTGATTTTACTTCTGGCAAAACCTGATAGTTGATCTGGAGAATAACATTTCCATGAAACTTGTGGTCTTTCGAAGTATATGTTCTAATCTAAAGGATCAAATAATTTGAAACAAGAACAATTTGAATGACCAAGTTATATTTTTCAGAAGGGAAATTTGAATTGGTGAGATACTTGCACGTCAGTATTGCTCTTGTCGCCATTTTCCTGCCTATATTCGAAAAATACAGTTATACACTACTACTACTACTACTACTACTACAGACATTATCGCAGAAATTATCGCACGACCAAAAAGTGGCCAAAAGTTAAGAAAACATTTTCGAAGGTTATTTCCTTCTGAACATTGGTGTATAAACTGTATTTGCATAAAAACCTCTTATACATACCGGGTGTAGAAATTACATCGTGTTTTTTCATGAAATTTGTCCTGCAGAATGTGATAGTTACACTTTCAAGTTTCAATTGAAATTTCACTTTAGCCATATTTTTTTTTCAAAGTTTATTTCTTGGATTCACTCCATTACCTTGCCTATCACTCCAGAAACACGATTTTATATCATAAATAATTCTGTATGTACCAATGACGAAAAACTGTCTATTATAGTCGACTCTGCAAATCAGTCGAGACAATAGACAGTTTTTCGCCAAGGTGCCTATTACATTTTTTCGTCGATCTCAAACTTATATCCACATCACGGTCATATTCACACGTGAAATCTATCGGATTTCGTGAATAATTAATTTGATAACAGCAAATGACAGTTGTTGTCAACTCACTCCCCGCGCGGACCAGGGTTGCCAGTTCGATTTTTATTTCATCAGAAAATACCATATCAAAGATTCAGATCTATTTCATGCTATACGAATTTCAAGAACGGATAATGAAATGAACATATGACGTCTAAACAGTAGGTACTTTTAGTACACAGAAAAGTGACATGTTCCCAGGAAAAAAGAAACAAACAAAAATATAATCATAAAAAAATAACCATATTCCTAAATCTCAATTTAAAAATATTCAGAAATATCACAAAAATTAAACGTGAAAAACGAACTGTTATAACAGAGGTATATAAAGAATTGAATTTGATCTGAATCAGATAAATTATTGTCCTTTTTTGGTTTATACATATCATTAGTACCTGTATGTAAATTTATTAGTTATTTTGTGAAATTAATTCAAACAGAACGTGCAAAATATCATGCAAATTAGTGTCAAAATATCCATCAGTAGGTTGTGAAATGTTTCAGTTGATCAGGAGGTCAATATACAAATCAAGAGATCTACTCAAAATTCAGTAGAACTGGCAACCCTGCAGCGGAAGAAAAGTACTTGCTTTCAGAAATAGTCGGTTTTTAGTTCGGAAATTGAAACGTACAATGTGATTTTTGGAGAGGTTGACGAAAAATGATTTTATGGAAAATTAATATCCAAATTGAACAACGAAAAAACGCAACTGAATGCAAAGTCACAAGTCAAAATAAAAGGTAAGTAGTGAAAATTTCCGCCAAGGGCACGAGTATCTTCTTGGCAAAGACGGCCTATAACTAAAATGAGAGACATATAATGTCATGTTGGTCCATATATTCCAAAATTTGAATCCTGCCTCTGCCGTGTGTTTTCCAAAGTATTCAAAGTATGTTCGTCTTGTAATCTTGTCCGAAGAATATCTCAGAGATTCTCAATGGGGGCTGCAAGCTGGCCATGTCTTGGTATAGGGATACAGACTTCCTCTAGATAATTTTTCACAACTCAGACGACGTGAGGCTTGGCGCATTATCTTGCATCAACAAAAATTCTTATACTAAGCGGTTCTAAAATCACCAATATGTACCTTTCAGCTGTAAGACTATCATTTATGATCACAAGTTTTATGCGACCAGTCAAAGAAATGCCTTCTCAGAAAATAATCTGCTACTTTGGTGCTTATAATGCTAATTGAATTCAATAAAATCATGTTATGCTATGAAATTGTATTTCTGGGGACATAGGAAAGATAATGGAGTAAATCCAAAGAAGGAATGTTGAAAATCGGGCTAACGTGTACTTCTTGATAACGTAACTGATACACTCCACAGGGCATTACAAATGTCATGAAGAAAACACGTTATAATTACTACACCCGGTATTCATAATAAAGTGGTTCTTATGAGAATACAGTTTGCACGCCAATATTCAGAAGGAGATGACGTATCATTCGAAATAAAAATCGTCCAAATCGTACAAGTAGTTTCGACGAGAATGTATTCCAAACTTTTGGAGATGCATTAATTATTTGGGGAGGTGTAATTCAAATTTTGAATCATATGCTTACTGGTAGTGAGGGGTAATGGGGGGCAGAGAGCATGTGATGTGGCGGTCCTGGACCTAATTTAGGCCCATCTTCTGCCTTCTCTTCTTCCCGTCGTTTCAAACAAGCAGCTTTCGGGTTCAGATTCCTCTCTAAAAAAAGAATGAGAAACATCATTAGAAACCCATAGGCAGTAAACAAAAAATAATGAGGGGAGACAGATAATGCAAGTGAAAGAAAAATAGAAATATGAACCCACCTCTAACTTGCTGTTCCAAAGTCATGATAACTTCTACAGCCATATTCAATATACCCAGTTTCGTCTGTGGTTTGTCCGTTTTTAAATGTGCCATACACATTCTTCCAAGTTCTTTGAGAGCTTCATTTATATCACGAATACGTATCCTAAAAAAATATTCATCTCAAGCAGACGCTACTTAGATCCAATAAGTCCCTTTACACCATTAGTCGCTAGACACTTAATTGAAGAATCACGTAACTGCTGAATATTTTATTGCTTTCGAACAACAAATAGCCACTGAAATGTTCTCAACCAACGTATAAAAAAGGCTCAACTATTGATCCAATATCTGGTGAAGTTAAAGTTTTTTGCAAAAAAAAAATTATTAAATGAGTAAGGTAGTGCTATCAAAATATGTCATGGATTGATTGGTATCTCGTCAAAGTAACTGAATTATCATAAGATCAGATATTAAAGGAAATTGAACACTGAAGTTATATCATGGTGAATTCATGCTCAACTTAACTCAGTCCTGACTTAAGAATTAGAGAAAATGATTGGCGAATTTCCGATTGATTTCTGGAATCATCCAGTTATTATCTAGTATCCTCAAGTTACGAAATTGAAGTTGTACATGAATTGACCATGATCTTGATATGAAATGTATGTTTATACAGGGTGTCCCAGAAGTAATGGATTAAAAGAAGTGGGGTGGTAGGGGGGGTCGTTTGTAATCAAACTAACGGTATATGTTGTTATCAAATTTTTGATGGTTCAAGAGCTATTCAATTTTTTTTAAATGCGACCCATTTCAAAGAAATTAATAACAAAAAGGATGTTTCGAATAACCACATACGTTATACTATTTCGGAATCTGTATTAAATGGGAACTTTTTCTTATGATTGGTTATCTCCGTGGGGTAGTTTTTGAATCTGCCAGCGGCATTTAAAAATCGACTTGAATATTTGATTTGCTAACAAAACTCAAGGGAAACAAAATTTTTCTCAGATGAAGTAATACATGTCATAAAATTATTTCTGGGGAAAGGTGCATTCATGTGGATGAAATTTGTGAAAGAAAAAATCACAAGTGTGACATAGTTTTATTGTTATTGATTCTTTTCAAAGGAATGAAAAAACAATAATAACTTTTGAACCATCAATAATTGGATGACCACATATACGTTTAGTTTGATTGGAAATGGCCCTCCCTACCACACCCTCCTTTTGATTCATTACTTATGGGACACCCTGTATATATGTGTATATATGTGTGGCCAGGTAGCCGTGCGGACAGAGTGTCTATATTCTAATTCGCATTCGCTTGCCGGTCGTGGGTTCGATCCCCGTCGACTGCAGAAATTTTTCTGATGGCCCAAGAAAGTGTTTGGAATCACACGTTAAAAGGTAAGGCCCCCGTCATTCCTTGCTCGCACAAGACTTTCGAAGACTTTTGAGGGTTGCTCGTAAGGGGGCAACCGAATGACGGATAGAACAAATTTTAGAACAAATTTTTTTTTTTTAGAACAAATATCACACATATAATTTCCGAGAAACATACAAGATTTTAAAAAACTATGATGATTAAACAAATTTGTCGAGATTTTTTTTAAATATATTATAGATACTTGATTCAGAATGAGAACACCAATATAATGTCTGTACTTTTCATTTTCCAAGCAGCAACCTAAATGCACTAGGATGCAGCCCTACTTAAGTGGATCACCTTATTCACGTTATGATTGGTCTCTCCATCTCATTGCGTGACCCAATATTCGCAATTATTTGTTCTTCAATACTTTCACATTAGAGATGTTATTGATGATTTGAAGAATTCGGGATAAATCAATTATATTAAATGTTTGGTTAATCAATGTTTACAAACTATGAAATGGACATGAGATGAACCAAAGCTTTCTATTTCTGAATAACTGAGTGATTTAATTTCAAAAACTCCACCTTTCACTTCGATGCAATCACATCTAATCAACAAACGGATATATCGACTGATTATAAAGTGTGGAGAGAAATTAATTGACTCAGTTATAACATGAGAAACACATACAAGAATATAGGCCAAGACGTTCGACACATAACCTCAAAGGTGATTGAAACGAATGGGAACATGTCAAAATCCCACCTTTCCCTGGCATTATTAGCCTGTCGCCTCTCTTTTTCCCTTTGTGCCTTCATAACTGGATCTAAATCACCCTCTTCTGTTTCGTCAGCACTGGAACAACTGTCACAATATTCATGAATGAATATCAAATTCGAACAAAATCCGAATGGAAGTGAATGAAACCAGAATTTCTATCATCTTTTTCGTTTGAGTTCTATGAAAATTCAGACAAATGACTTCATGAAACTTTTGATTTCATTCAATCGATTCATTGATAAAAATCGGGAAACTGTCTGAGTAGCAACCTCAGCAACCACCATTCATATCAAGGCAAGCAGACTATATCAAGTAACTAGTGTTCCACCAATTCACATTTAACATAATTTTTTCATTTTCTCTGATTGAAATGTGGTCCTCAACAAAAAACATTACCTATGACCTTCTTCTCATGTGTTGCAAAATTTGAAGCAGACACTATTCATGTTGTACAGGGTTATCCATCAAAGAGGTCCACCCCTTCATTTATGATTCCTTCAATCGAAACAGAAAACAATAAACGGAAGTTGAATGCCGCAATAAGTTGTTTCTTCTACAAACGTCGAAAAATGACAAAGGTTCGCGAATTGATAACTATTTGCGAAGTGACACTTTTTTCAGTTTTCAACTTTACCTACCACGACACCATGTGCGAAGCAGTGCGCGAAGTTAAACGATGCCCAAGTACATACTTCGCGCATTGTATGTAAACTATATGATATTCTTGTATTTAAACTTTATGGTCCTCAATCAAGCAAACATCCAAGAAGTTTAACAATAAATAAGGCCTTTTAAGCCAGTTCAACACTATTTTTCATATTGAGCTAAGCATATTACTTCTATAGAACTATATTTTTTGAAGTTTGTAGAAAATATGTTGTTTGCAACTCGTGCGAAATACTTTGGTCTTCTCGAATAACTTTTCAACTCGGCAGCGCCTCTTTAAAAAAATCAGTTCTCAATCAACAAAGTAGCATTTCGTGCACTAGAAGCTTAACAAACCACGAGTTCATTTTTCAAAATACATATTTATTCAAGGCGATCAAATTTTATTATAGGATATAATCAAACTCGATAAGAAACTGTCACCTTTTCATTAGACATATGCTCTAAAATAGTCTAAAACAATCATTACGAGGTAAAGAGCGTTGAAGTTTGACTTTTTTCAATCCTGAATATTTCTCCAAGATTTTTCAGATGCATTGAGAAGAATACTATGCAATGTTTTCAGTCAAGGTCAATTGATTGTATTTCTCAGAGGATTCATTGTTTGAGCTATCGTTTCCCTCGTTATCGATAACCATGATGTTTTTGATTAAATAGATGGAATAAGGAAGAAGGAAGAAAATAAAAACCAAGCAGAATGGAAAAAAATAAACTGAATATCAATGAATCCCACTAGTACTTTTGTGTTGAGGTACGTAACTCTCTATACTATTTATTTATTTGGTAATTTCTCCAGTAAACTGAGATTCGAAGAACGTTCTTACAAGTTAGCATGATCACATTTTTCCAACCCCTTCAAGATGAATTGACAAAGCAACTGTTGTTGTCAATAATCAGTAGACTCAAAATTCAGTTATTGAATGGTACACTTTGGAAATGTAATGAAATCTGGTCAGTGGTGTACTGGAAAGAAGTTTTATCCATCTTGTTACTAACGGTATTCAAAATCTGTATCATCCAGCATGTCAATCTAAATATCATGACCCACAATATCTGAGCAATATCTATCAATGATATTGAAACATTGAAGACAAAAATGTAGAAACCAGGACGGCGGAATGGCGCAGTGGTTGAGGCGAATGACTAGTAATCAGAACATCGAAAGGTTGCTAGGTTCGTATCCCCGGGAGAGCAGAGAATTTTTATTTATGAATTTACGAATTCTAACTTTCGTAGCCTCGGCCGGAAGGGCTGAAGGACCTCTTGTAAGGTCGATGGCTAGTTGGCATGTAAATACATATCAACGAAGTACATATACTACTACTTTGAACCCAGGGTGTTGATTTTTGGTTTGTCATGCTTTTAGGGATCTCCCAGTAAAATTTCTGATAGGGGATTGAAATGGCATTATTGCAACTTTGATTTTGTTCTTATATTTCTCCAATATAACGTAAGGGTGGACCTCTTTGATGGAAAAGGTATTTCCTACACAGTCCTGAAGAGATACCTTCGAGATAGTCATTTGTTATTCTTTGAATCAATAATACACTGGAAGCATGACTTTCCTGACAAGAAACTCGAGGGAAAGGTAGCAATTATTGTTAGAGAGAAAAATCAATGAGTCAGAATAATCTTAATAACATTTGCTCGAAAAAGGGAGCTTAAGATATAGGCCCATATTCTATGTGTCTCTCTTTTTCTGTTAAAAATGCAATTCAACAATATCAAAAAACAAATCTACTACATGCTCAATCTTAAAACAAATGTTGGGGAAAAAAGATTCTTGAATCGAGGATAAACGTAGCTTTCAAGTGCAAATGAGAGTACCTACAAATTTAATTTTACACTTGAAAACAAAAACATTATTTGTGTCTGAACATGAGCCTTTAATACGGGCAACAACGGGTGACGAAAGGATCAAGGAATTTTTAGGACAACACATTTTTCTAATAATACTTCATACAATTAAGAGATAATACTCAGAAAGGAGATGCTAAATCACTATAATCCGAAAAAGATTCACTCACTACTATTTGATTCTCGATTTCACCTGATTATAATATTCAACATCACAAAATAATATTTAACGTTCTGTCTATACACAACGTGATTTATATAATAAAAAAACTCATTCAATGAAAGTCAGCAAACTCGAGATTGACAGCAAACGCTGGTAGAGCTCGAAAAGTCACATCAAAATAGCAGAAATTGATGATCCAACGTCCCCAGGTCATAATACTGCATTTTGCACTCAAAGTGTTCTTGTGTTGTAGTCTTTCAGAAAGCTTCCACACTCAAGCTACCTTAAGCTTAGAAGACGGTGTTGATGTGTTAGTGAAGAGTGCATTTTATCAGAAGGTGTGTGAAAGCAAGAATGAATTATTGAAATAATCTCTAGAACACCGTAGGAAAGTCGGCGACCTTTCACTGTTTTATAAATACTTCCATGGAAAATATGATTCAGATGAACTCGACAAGTCCAGTGAACACCTCCCTGTCGGAGATAATTCCACCTAACCTCGTTTATCCAAAGAACGGCAAATCTTTGAGACTATTTTCCTAAGGAAGCATCAATGCCTATTTTCTCTTCCTATCCCCTCTGCGAGCATTCCAGATAATACAAAAAAAATCAGTGTCAGTTCTGTCATCATTATAGTGTTTCCATGAGAAGCTATGTCATCTGTTTGTTATTCTAACTCATTTTGATCTGGCTATTATATTGAACATTTCAGTGCAGGAAGACGAAATTTTATTTATTTTTAGCCATTTTCTATCAAATTTGAAAACTTGTCATTATATCAAAATTTTTGGGACAGGAAAATGAAATTCTGAACAAAAAATTTTATGGGTAGACAACCTGAAGTGAGTAACTGACATTATCACAATCTGGGAACTCGGAAGCGAAATTTTATAACCCTAAAAAGTATTTCACTTTGTATCAAAGAATATACGTATTTTCTCTGAAAAAATAAGGAATTTATACATTATTTCAGATTTTTCGGGATTTTCTCTCCTCGTTTCTGTGAAATAAAAATGAGATTATTATTTCAATGAACATGTAGTAAGGAGAATCCCAAATAATCTGGAATAATGAATATACCACTTCCTGGATTAAACGTAGGACAGTATTTTTCAATGTTTCCTTCCAAATAATCCTAAGACAATGTAATTAGAGACTAGAACTGACTGCTGTCTAGTCGTTGTTTAATTTTATTTCAAACAACCAATGGAAAAACCAAATACAAAATCTAAAACAAAGCATTTAGGTATAACCAGACTCCAACTGACAGTTGAATACAAAAATGAAATGAACAAATATTCCAAATAATCAGAAACTTGTATCTTGAAATGAATGTAATGTGGTAGTATTGTTCTCATCTTTATTGTTGCACTGGAAACCTTTTGAAGTAATCGGATGTGTCAATTTTATCCTGTTTTGATTTTAAAAAATTGCGAACAGTGGTTCTTCAGTAATTCACGCAACCGCGAAGTGGAATGGAAGATAAAAGGACTTTCAGTTCATTCTGGGATACGGTGTTATTGGCTTATTTTTAGGAACTAGCACAACAAAAGATATCAACAGTGCAACTATAGACCCTGAAAAAAAAACACTATTTTTTCCCGTGGGAAAAAAGTAATTTATGCAAAGTGACATTTTGTAACCTGTCAACAGAGATAATGTCAAACCACAGAATACTCAACAATCAGAATAGCATCTCTCGGCGCGGGAGTGGGTTCGCGCATTCGAACGGCGCAGGTTGTCGGCCATCTTCCTGGGTTACTTGTTTACATGTTTATCGAATTCTGAGTTGTGGAATGATCGTGTGACATATTCAGAAATTCAAGTGCATATTTCATTTTTTCTGTGTTGTGTTGTTGTTTGGGTTGTACTGTTTGAATGAGTTTTGATGCCTACCTAATTTGGTTGTGGATAAGAAGCCAATTATAGATTCTTTATCAGCTTGATCTGTAATTGTAGTCATGAGTGCTCAATAAAACTTAGAGGTGGTCATGTGTGCGCTGCGACAGGTTGCAGAAACAATTCTATGAATTGTAATGCCAGTTTTTTAGATTCCCAAAAGATATTCAGAGGTGAGCGTAGCTTGTTTTCAATGCTATGTACGTAGATTGTCTTGAACTAATATTTTTCAGAGCTAAGATGTGGGCGATGCAATGTGGTAGAAACGACTTATTAGAGAATTCCAAAAATATATACCGTAGTAATGAGTGTGTAGTACTAATTTTGAAGTACACATGTTCCTCTATGATTAAGGAAACCGACTTCAACCTCATGCAATTCCAAGAATTCACAGGGAGCAAGAAGGTTCTTCCAGAAGTATCAGAGCCACTCAAGATATTAGAGAAAGCTAATCTGCTTCAAGGTGAGTCATTCTCATGTAGTTATTCATACCCAAGAATTGATGATGTATCTAACTTGAATGACATTTTTAGGAAGAAAGAGGTTGATTTATGTTGATGATTCTAGCGATATAAAGGAAATATTGCCACAAAAAAATCCTAATTGAGAAAGAGTCCAACAAGGTACATGATTGAATAAAATAGGCTTTTTATTATTTTCTGATTATCATAATATTGTTGTTGCAGAAAATACCGAAAAGGAAGAGTTGCTTATACTTGACAATTTGTCAAGTACACCTGCCCAAGAGAATGTGATTTGCACTTTTAACATACTTCCCGGTTCAACACCATCAAAGGGGCTGATTTTCACCATATCAATGACCTAAGTAACTATGTTGTTCTAGATTCCGGGAAAAATAAGTGGTACCTCAAATCCCTAGGGATTTAAATGTACTTTGAATTCCCTGGGATTTAAAGTACCACTTTTTTCCATGAAAATAGGGATTGAAAGTATCCTTCATATTCCTGAAGTGCATAAAAAGCATAAGAAGTAATACATTGCTTCGATATACGTGAAAATTGTATATTTGTAAGATTCAACCTAATCTGATTTTATATGCAGTAATATATATAAATAAAACTTCTGGATAATATTCAATAGTATAGCAATAAAGTTTTATTGTTTCAAATTTGTTTCATTCATCATTGGATCAGAGTCAGTTAAATGGATATACCCTGTATACCTATTGACCAAGCAGAACTGCAATTGTGAGAAAAAAAAATGTTTTTCCAAAAAACAACTTGAAAAAATAATCTAATGGAGACATAGTCAAATCAATCGTTTTAAATTTTAAGCAATGTCCGTGTTTAAACCTGTCCTACTGAAAATAAATTTGCTTCTGTGAACTATTTTTTATTAAATTAAGTGTAAGTGTAATTTTGTAAGAATACATTTTGGTATCGATAAGTGACACACAAAATGAATAAATTCAGTTAGTACAATCCTGTCATTTTCCTTGGAACGGCCCTGCTTGCTAACCCAAGAACATGGCGGATCACAGAAAACGGGTCCTAAAATATCAAAGGCGCCGACCAGAGAAGCGCTTCTGATTGTTGAGTATTCTGTGGTCAAACTTTTACCCGCTACAGAAAGAAAAAATGAATAACCTCGGTTTACACGAATGATATAAATCACGTTGTGTATTTTTCATCATCCAACGTGAAAAACAGTATAGTATTATGTGAATCCATTTCTAATTCGATCATTTTTTTACATACCGTTCACGAACATTGTTAGCCTGTCTACGCTCTTTCTCGCGTACAGCCTTGTTGCTGGGGTCATCTATTTCATCGTCATCGCCGTTACTTGAACAACTACTCAGACAATTTGTTTAAAAATGTGAACCAACAATGGCAAAACCAATAACAATTTCATTTTGAGGCAAAAGAGTACACCGTTTCGAAAATATAGTATTTGGGAACATTAAAAATTACATTGGTCAAAAGTGGTCCAAAATAATTGTGAAACTAGTTTAGTTCAATATTTGACTGACATATGGCTATCCACATGGACAAAACTGCACTTTGCCGCACGAAACGACATGCAATCTAACCTGACTTATCCAGTTTCTTCAAATGCATGGAACAAACTTTTGAACAATTGCTAGGCTTCTCACTCAATTTCTTTCTGAATATTTAGTACTTTTTCTTTTGGATCTGGTGAAGCTGCTGCTATTAATGAAAAAATGTAACACAACTCACCAGTTTCTTCAAATGCATGGAAAATACTTTTGAACAATTGCTGGGCTTCTCAGTTAATTCCTTGCTAAATATTGAGTACTTTTCCTTTTGGAACTGGTGACATCTCAAGTCCTGTTAATTTTGAAAACTATGCAACAGATTCAGAGTGGCTGATCAGGTGTAAATATAGTGAGGCGAAGTTATGTTCATGAATATAATAAACTTTTCCTCTTTATTCAATTTGTGAAATGACAAATACAACAAATTGACATGCACCCTAATAGAAGCTAGAATCTTGTATGTATGTTTATATCAATTATGACCACTTTTGACGACAAGAGAATTTTTGATATCACGGTATATTGTACCTTGTGGATATGCAAACACAACATTAGAGGGAACAAAATCATCATAAAAAAGTAAGGAAGGAAAGCTCGAAATCGTCTCCACACAATTTGAGAGACGAGACGATTTTGAGCATTCCTTGTTTCCTTTGACAATACCACTCCACTTTGAGCAATATGGACTTCCACAAAAGATTAAAATCATCATAGTCTTCAATTGCAGTTTTATATAAGAAAGTCAATCTTCAGTATATTTTTTTCTGTCAAAAAGAGAACAGTGTGAGATTTGTATGAAACTCCCACATGTGCTGCTCAGCTCAAGAAGTTGCTCAAAGTGATCATCCAGTTTAATTCTACGGAAATAAATTCAATATAATTCAGTGATACTGAACTAGAATCCAAAATTATTAGGATTTGAATAACTATTATTGATTATCATGAAAAAATATATAGTAAAATATGACATTTCACCCATTTTTCTCAGATTCAAACATACTGGAATATTAACAAATACAAGGCACATCATACCAATTTTGTACCTTGATTACATTTTCCTGAATTTTAAAATGTTATCAAAACTTGAATAATTGGTAGGACTGACAATGTAGTCGTTAATTTTGCCATTGTTAAATGAACTGTAAGAGACAAAGATGAATGTATAATTTCAAAACAGGACTTACTATCTTCTTGAGCGTTTACTAGCTTTTGGTGGGTTCCCACTAGTTGAGTTAGGCTGACTTATACTTTCAACAGAGCTGGATGGTTTGGTGTCACTATCTGGAGGTTCTTTGCGTTTTTCTGAAAAGAGTAAAGATGTCACAATTCATGTTCTGACTATGTATGCAGAAATCTATATGGACTAACTTAGATAATGCTACTTGGGGAGTTTGAACATTTCGGCAATTGACATGTCAAACATCATACCCATTGACGATATCAAAATAGTAGATAAATTAATTTTAAGTTGACACTTCGAAATTCTACGACTTTTCAAGTGGATAAAAAGAAATCTAGAAGAATCCCAATCCCGTTCAATCCCAAGTATACGAAAGGACTTGATAAGGTTTTCAAAGACTTAGGTTTTGAAAGCGTTTATCAGTCTGGGTCAAAATTAGACAATTTATTAGACAATCTGAAAGATGAAGTGGACAAACTTGAGAAGTCTGGAATATACGAATTGTGATGAACATATATAGGCCAAACCAGGCGACCCATAAAAACAAGGTTCAAAGAACACATGGCCCATTTGAAGTATGGCAGGTTAGATAAATCTTGTGAAGCCGAACATATGTTCAATCACAATCATAACACACATATCACTAACCTCAAATTAGTTGAGCAAGTTAATAATATAAAAAAACTAAACGCATATGAAAGCTTAGTGATATTCAAGAATAGTAATAGAGTAATGAATAAGAATAATGGACCTATTCCATATAGCCCTCTATATAGTTTAGTAATATAAAAATTAAGATTAACATGTGAACTCAACCATGACACACATTAACTTGACGGTTAGTATTTTTCACGGTTGGATGAACATACCTAGTATATAAGCAGCACACTAGAATAGGATATTTAGTTTTAGCGAAACACATGTCGAGGCGTTTAAAAATCGGATCGGTTAGTGGTAAAACAGTGTAGTGTATTATCGTGCCAAAGGTTCCAGTCTTCGATTTATACTTTCTGTTTGTGAATTGCACAATTGGCTTGTCCGTTAATGAATAAATAACTGAAACAAAAATCGACTGACTTGTGTTGTACGTCGTCCGCCCCTCGGTCTTGACGGTATCGGGCAGGTGGTGGTCGGGCGGAACGGGCGGCGCAGCGTACCCGAGCTGCTGCATCTGATGCGCCGAGAGGCCGCCCGGCAGCTGCCCAGCCAGCCCGAGCGGTTCCGCGTGGTTCCGCAGCACGTTGATGGCGTCGTCCAGGCGTTCTTCCATGCGGGTGCCCTGAAGCAAAATATGGGGTTCGTGAGTAGGTGGTCTTCGGGCTGTGTGGAATCGACTACCAGGACCGTCTTTCACCTATCAGAGGCCCTGGGCACATTAGAATAATGGGGCCCCTATGACCATAATAAAGTACTATTTCCATTTAACGAGTAAGTTAAATGTTTATGAAATCGTTCATTAATGACCCCTATTAATGATCAATTTGTCTATTAATGCACGATTGTTTTATAGGCAACCAAACATACACCGCGTGCATTCATTGTTTATGCTATAACTCACGGGATCTGCATTTGAATAGAAAATATGGATTTCATTGAAGATTTTCCGTTAACGGGTTTGCCTTTCCAAGTTTGTGATACGATTTTAATCCCTGTTTTCTAACACAAGGAATTTGTTTTCTATGTTGATCATTTCGACAGATGTCAAATGTCACTAATGTCAATAACTAGGCTACTAGGTGTTTCTTAGTAGTTTCCAGATGAATGATGAATTCGCGAAACAAGTTTTCTTCATTACAGGAGAAATGAGAAATATATTCATACGAATTTGCACATTTTTCAAGAAAACTCAGAGCATGTTTTCTTCTCATATTTCATGAACAAAAGTTTACATAGTTGCGATCATCAACTCACTGTCAATTTGAAAACGCAAGCACTCGCCAGAAATCATGGTATCAATTCAAAAGTGCAATCATATCGTGCATCGTTCTTTACTTGATGAAATCAACGTCATCTGCTTAACCGAATTGTTTAGATAGGTACTAAATACAAAATCGTTTTTTCATGACTTTTTCAATTCCAATAAAACTTGGTGTTTTTGTTGACAAGTCATTATATTCCATTATAATGTTTTTCTTCTATATTTCATATTTTCATTATATTGAACTATTATAAAGTACAACTTTCGTGCACCTTGCTCAATTTTTGAGATAATAATAATCTCAGTGCCGTTGCAGTGGTCTATTTAATTGATATTCATGGTGAAAATCATTGTACGCCAAGGTTTCTTTTTCAATTCCGATAGAAGGTTCGTGCATTGCATAGATCAAATATGCAAATTGACCCTTTTTTCATTTTCCTGAGTTACAACGACACTGCGCGCTAAATAGTGTGCAGAATAAAATAGTGTGCGAAATACATATTTCGCGCACTGCATGTTAACTATATGAGATTTTTATAATTCGACTCATTTTTCCAAATCGGCTGCGCCTCGTTAAAAAAATCAGTTCTCGATCACCAGAGTAGCATTTCGCGCAGTTGATACAAAAATAACTATATTAGAGCATACCACATTTTTTCTGAATGATCAATTGTTTGGTTACCTTAAAATTGTGAGGGCATTAATCGAAATGAGCCAACAGTGGCGATAATATTTTACGAATCAACCATATTATGTAATCTTTGAAATCGATTTGAAATCAGCAGCCACACAATAAATACAATGGAAAAATCGCTCACTGGAACTATTGGAAAAAAATTTAGGACACCCCTGTGAAGTTATCTAGGTAATGGTGAAGAATTTTTTTATTACCTATTCAAAATCATGTCCCTCATTTCTTGTTACTCAGTAAGATTGTGTTTCCCAAAAAAAAACTATTTCCAAATGGGGTAATCTGTAATTAGTGCTGTGAACATTCTCATCATCCCAATTTGGTGGAATTCAAAGAAAACAAACAAAAAGCTATTCAAATACCATTGACCACAAACAAAACAAACTCACCGTTGCCTCAACAGCATGTTCCCTTAAGAAGCCAATAGCATCATCTAAACGTTGCGCTTCAGGTGCAGGCTTCATCACACAAAAACAAAAAAAAATCATGCAAAAATAAAGTAATAAACATCAAATTTATATCATAATATATTGATAAGAAATAAATTAAATTCGAGGCTTTCGCTCAGAATCGCAGTAGTGCAACAATCAATATTATTTATTTCATATATGAAAAAATATAGTACTCTGAACGGTGGATCTGTCAACACTGGCCACCACAGTGAAACAATCGCTATCCTCCGTTACTGGCCATGTTGCAAAATGCCATCCTTTCTTAATATGCCTATATAGTAGGTAACGATTCGATAAAACATCTGTATATACAATGTACAATATACATATAAAATCTTACAACAGCAACAGCATCAAAATAAGAGGAACTTTTCGGCAAGGTTGGAAAGTGTTCCCTTTCGACATTTTTCTGGATAGAAAAATTCTCTAGATGCCAATAGAGAATTGCACGAGAGCACGTTTATAGCCATTTAGTCGAAAGGATTCTGTTATGAGAATAAATATATAAAACTAAAAACGAAACAAGTTAAGATGTTCATTCAAACTTTTTGCATGGAATTTAACAAGAATTCATCTCCTGAAATTTTTCGCACATATTCAAAATGTATAGTAGTTGAAGTAATAGATGCACCTTCGCCTTGCTGTTCTGTACTTAGAGAATTGAAACCAACAGGAGAGTGAGATGAATTACTATCAAAATGGCTGGATGTGTAAAAATATTGACAAGCTCCTGGTTACAACAAGTCAAAATCTATTTATAATTATGAACTAGATGAGACAGAAAATCACTAGAAAAAAGAATGCATCTCATTGCAATGTAACCATGGCAATCAAATAAGAAATATTCAATAACACAATCATGCAAATAATAACTAAAAATCGGTAATGTGATTTGGTGCATTTTCAGGGCTTCAGGATATTCTCCCATCATCAGCAGACGCCTGCTCATTGCCTCTCTGTCTTTCGTTGATTTTATTGGTTCGTTCTCTCCACCTTTCTCTCAGCGCGCAATAGTTTCGAATTTTTTCATTTTCAACTTGAAATTTACACAGAGCGAGTCAGAATAAGACCGAAAAACTTGGTTTCCAGTTTCTTCACATCATTTTCAAGTGAAATGTTCTTATCAATGTGTTAACCCTTTATAGCATACTGGTCGACATTTCAACCAAGACCAAAATAAAATCGTATTGAAGAGATACTGGTCTGATATTACGCCAGAAAATACCTATTGCTTAGTGCAAACGAACACTGGCTAGAAATGGAACCGGTTTCTGTATTTACGCGATATAAAAAATCTGGTTGAATTTTCAACCACCGTACGTCAAGCACATATGATGCGGAAGTAGGTGTATTGTGTACCTGCGAAAAAAATATCTGTTTTTCTGTTAGTTGACATAATTGGTTCATGAAAATTGGGAGATAGAACCAACAATAGTCTGACATCATCATGAAATAATCATAATGTTGCTGAACTTTTGCGCTAGGATAATATTTAGTAGTAACACCAATATAACCTCAATTATTCAGTAAATCAGGTTGTGAATTCATTTTTGCCGGCTTTGCCGCAGTTTGTTGACAACGCTCGTGGAGCACGTACTCGAGCACGTACGTACTGTGACCTGCGTAAATAAATAAACAGTATTTTTTGCTGGTTATATTGTTTGTTTGAACCAGTGTTTTTTTGCTTTAATGTTTTGCCTAGTGAGATACTGGTCGATATATCGACCTACTCGGGAAAAATAGAAATAATTTCATTTTAATTTTTTTCATGCCATTTTTACTTTCTCAATGTACCAATAAACCATTTTATGTGAAAAAAATCGATATGTTTCATTTCTCTTAATCTGCCCTATAAAGGGTTACACTTCCTGAGAGGCAAGTTGCTAGAAGTCAAGAAATGCGATAATTTGAAGTTTATATTCCCAATTCTGGTGAATCAGTAGCCACGGTCGTATGTAAAAACGAATTCCTTCATATTTTGCTAGAGCTAGAGGTGAGTGGACAAATCAGTTCTCAACATCAGTTAGGTTCATCGATGAACAACAAATTATCCTACAAATAAATCTTGAGTGGAGACATCATTGATTGTTAAGATGCCATAATCTTATATGAAACTGTGATCTCCTGAGATATAAGAAAGCATCACAGTGGTGTGCTTCTTCCTTTCGAGACGGTAAGACCACGTCGTCACGGCAACCACGAATCTAAATAGAACATCTTGTCACCTGGTATGACATGGAGATGACAGTTCCATATAGATCGTGGATTTGTCTTAATAGAAACAAGTCATGCTCACAATACTATCGAAAAATCTGTCAGAAATTTTGAACCATCAAATTGCTTCAAGGTAATACCACTTTTACCGGGCCATATCTCCTGTAGTGTGTATTAATGTAATCATTATTAACACAAATTCATCAAATGCACTCATTGCACTTATGATACTACCCTTGATAATTTCCTACAACATATCGGTATATTTTTCAACCACTTGAAAAGTTTTGTGTACCAATAGGATTGAGAAGTAGGCATCTCAAAAAGGAGATTGTTGGTCTTATCCTGACTCATTCTGCCTCGCCATGTAGATATTTCTAGATCTCAGCTCACAACTCACTCGCAACATAACCAACTGGCAGGGCCCCAGTAATCACTGTACATTTTCATAATTAATAATTTTTGATAATAATCGAAGATCCTGTATTCATTCATGAGCAACAAGATTGTACCGTGTTAGCCGTATATGAATGTAATACATAGTTATGATCCTCTGTTTTATGGAATCGAGTTGTTATGCTCTTGTTGAAAAAAAAGGGCAAGTAATGTCAATTTTAAAATAATTTTTTTCCTGAAAAGGGTTTAACAATCATTCAGAGTTATTTCAATAAAATTCATCGTCAATCTCATAAAGTCAATACATTCCATATCACATTACTCAAGCTTCACAGAATTAGTGAAAACTATCACGAAATCCTACACTCACCATGTGTAATCCCTGAGGAGCGACGGTATTATTTACAGTGACGGCTTGCGTGTAGTGCGGCGAATGCGGAGTGCTGTGGTTTGTCAACCACCCTGTAGGTGCTATCGGGGGTGGCGAGCTGACCGGTGTGGATGGGGCCGAGCTGTAGCTGCTGGCGCTCGCCTGTTCAGCTGCTGGATATATCTATAACAGGAAGGTTGGTCAGTCATCAGGATGAGAGTAATGGGGAAAGTTTATAATTTTTCTGTACCTAGTTTGAGAAAAAATATTGAATAAGTATTTTTTATTCTTGTTGACGATCACATTCGTCTCGAAAATATTTGAAAAAGTACCAAGTTTCGAGGGAATCGATATAACCTAGACTGCTATGTATTGTCATCCCAACAACCTGCAAATTGCAGACTCTAGAGCATAGGACTAACACTATCATAAAAAATCATTTCCAACCTGAGATCAAGAGAATAGGAAGGTCTAGCTATCCGCCAGCGGAGATTCCTAGAGTTTTCAATGGTGAAAAAAAAAAAACAAACAATAGCATCAGTCTGGCCATTCAAACTTTTGAAGATATAAAATATTCCCAATGGGTAGAGAATATCCAGACCCGTAGGTAGGTGAAAAGTGAGTGCCAGAAAAAGTGAAAGTTGCCTCCAAAACTGCACTGTATATGGTAAAATAATAGGGATGTATTCGATTTATCATCTTTCGATGTATCTACCGAAAATCTTTCACACTCGCACTCAGATGGAAGGTTTTTCTAATCAGAAAAGGTGTTTTCACCAGAATTCTAGCCTGGCATTGACAGTTTTGCTTTATGTGAATGTACGAGCCCTGTCTTAGTGAAGTTGGCCCAACTTATCTACCTAATACAATCCAGTGACTCTAAACCCATCGCCCCAAATTGAACGAATGCGTTCAGACAATATTGAATGTACTTTCCAACAAGATGGTGCCGCTTGCCATAAGGCTAAAGAAGTTGAAGATTGGTTGGTTGAACGCAATATTCCGGTTTTAAAATCGACCTCGAGTCGTCCAGATCTATTGCCGATTGGAACCTCCGATCGACGTCATTAGTTGCAACTGTAAATTAGGAGATTTTCAAAAAAGTTTCTTTTGTCTTATTTACAATTGTAAGAGCCCTAGAAGAGAAGGCGGTATGGAGGGTACTATCATCCGCGAAGCTGTGTCCTGGACATGAAGTTGCTTCCAACAAATCGTTGATATGGAGTAGAAATAGTGTTGGTGCTAGAATTGATCCTTGACCAACAGCATTCATGATAAGAGAGTCAGATGAAACTCCGTCGACCACTACATGGAGAGACCTGTTTGAGAGAAAACTAGCTAGCGATCCGTCTGTAGTTGCTAGTAGGGGCTTTTTGCCTTTTTTAGGAACTGGTTGTAGTCTTGCAATTTTCCAGTTGGACGGGAATATCCCCAATTTGTAAGAGTAGTTGAACAACGTGCAGAGAAAAGGTGTTAGTTTGGGAGCATATTTCTTGAGAACAATCGGTGGAATTCCGTCGGAGCCACAAGCTTTGTCGGTGTTGAGACCCAATAAAATATTCCTTATTGTACGTTGGTGAAAGGTGATCTCGGGCATATGAATGTCAATTGGCGTTATGTTCGCAGGTTGTTTTCCCGATGAATCCAGAGTGGAATTTCCAGCAAATAAATGCCAAAAAATGTTGGCTTTCTCCTGGGCAGTTGTGGCTAGTGTTCCTTGGTTTAAGGAGGAAACGAGCTGGAAGTGAAGGTTCTTCCTACAGCTTTGGCAAATATTAAATATACAACATCACAATACTCACACCCGCCAAACCCTTGTTGACCGCCACCCCATCCTGATGACCGGCCGCCACGAAGGGCGGCGCACCCAGCATCGTCGCAGCAGCAGCGTTGGCGGTGGTGGTTGTAGGTGTGCCGCCCGGCCTCAGCGACGACATGGGCGGCAGCCCCTGGCCGGGCTCCACCTCGGGAATGAGGCCGTACGCCTCGTACGTCTGGTAGGGGTACGCGTGGGGTGGCCATTCGCCGCCCGCCGGGCTCGGGCCGCCGCCGCCGCCCTCGGGCCCGATGTAGTAGCCGGCGCCGGCGCCTGGCGACGTGTATCTGGGGGATTCGTGGGCGAACTCGTCGGAGCCATACTGGAATCGAAAAGGATCGTTGTATTAGGCAGGGTTGGTACCTACGAATCAATTCATATCAGGGGCAGATCCAGGGGCGGAACCTCATGAATATGTGGAAATGTAGGTATACTGGATACCAGAAAAAATAACGATAATTTTGAGAGAATTTTAGTTTTCTTATTCATTTTTAATCCAATATAAAACAAATTAAATTATTCATCAGATAATTATGAGTAGGCTCAGATAATTTTTTTTTCAAATTTCAACAGTAGCCCAAGGCCTAAGGTCATTATTCCAGATTTTTTGGGATTTTCTCTCCTCGTTTCTATAAAATAAAAATATGAATTTCATTTCAATATACGTGTAGTTAGAACAAATCAGATGATTTGCCCCAAAATGTCACTGCGTTTTAATAATTTTTTATCAGAGAGTCTAAAAGAAAAATTCAAAAAGGTTTGGAGAAGAGAAATAAGGGTATATAGAAAAAATGGCAAATTTTCACTTAGCTTTGGACGTTTTGGGAACGAATCTACTCCCGTTTTCAACATAAAAAAATTGTTGACGTTGGCAATCAAATGAGTTACAGGATTTTTTCATTAATTAATCTTGAATTTACCATTTTCATTTTCAGATTTCAGTAATGAATAACATGTTCTATCTATATACCAACTGAAAAGTGTCAAATGCTAATTTGCTATTCAAATATCCATTTTTTATGTTGAATACGGAAGCAGATTCGTTCCCGAAACGTCCGAAGCTGAGTGAAAATTTGATATTTTTTCTATATACCTTTATTTCTCTTCTCCAAATAATTTTCAATACAAATTTTCACTGACAAGCTAGTGAATTTTTTCTTTTAGGCTTTCTGATAGAAAAATTTTTTGAACGCAGTTACATTTTGCATTTTGGGGCGAATCATCTGATTTGTCCTCACTACACGTATATTGAAATAATATTCATATTTTTATTTCATAGAAACGAGGAGAGAAAATCCCCAAAAATCTGGAAACATGAGTACCACCTCCTCGATTAACCTACAGACAGTAAGTGACTGTCAACTTTCTTTCTGAATGTCACCATGCAAAATTTGTTTTTTTTTCTATCTCATATTTTTTTAGGAATACAGTGAAGTATGACTAGATGTCTTTTGAACAGAATTAGTTGAAATGAACAATATTTGCTCAATTAACAAGAAGTATATATATTTTTTAAATTTTGGGATGCATCAGAGGATGCATGATCAAATGTGGCAGTAAATATCACTGAAATGAATGTCAGTGTTCGATTTGTCATATATTTCAACACCACATGTGATTTTCAAGCGAGTTTTCAAGTGAGAGCTTGGCCGTCGTTAAACACACAATTCACACATACTTTGAAATTACATACGGTGTCAAAAAATCTAACAAATGAAACACTGGCGTTCATTCCATTGACATTTACTACATTCAATGATACCAACATCTCAAAATTGTATGAAAATGTCAATTTTTGTCAATTGAGAATTTATTTTTAATTCATTTTGTCAAATAATTCTCGAACAAAAAATAATAAAAACAGTGCCGCATTTGATCAAAAAAATTCAGTCGCTTTCAGTTGTCATTTGAAAAAAATAATGATCAGAACCTATACTCATGCCTATACCTTTTCTACTTCAATTTCGGAATCGGTAAGTTATATTTCGGAAAAAGTAATCTCGATTTCAGAATTGGTTAGTTCGATTTCAGAAATGGTAAACTCAATTTCAGAATAGGTGAGATGAATTTCAGAAAAAGTCCATTCAATTTCAGAAATGGTAAGTCGTATTTCAGAATTGGTAGGTTCAAAATCATGAAAAAAATCCTTATATTTGTTCGAAATGTTTCCAATTGCATGTGAGATTAACAAACCATATTTAAAATATTCAACTTTTCAGAAACAATTCAATCCACAGATGCCTTCCATCTGAATCCCTGGAAGATAGTGGCGTTGCACATGATTATAAGAATGCAAACACATTTGAGGTGTTATCATGTTCATTGAATGATCTGCACATTCTTCAAGACATCGCAGTCTGAATTCTATCTGGTTGAGCAATCTGTTCGGATCTCCAGCTATGACCCTTTGGCGATGCTCTTGCAAGAAGCTCTTCACTTCTGACTTCAATCTGATTCAACATAGGGCTCTCAAACACCGTTCCATCCACTGTAAACAGTCTTCTCTTTTGCAATTAAAAACATTACAAACATATAAAAGGATTTCATGTTCTGAAATTGAAACTACCAATAATAATTCTGAAATACAACTTACCATTTCTGAAATTGAATGGACTTTTTCTGAAATTCATCTCACCGATTCTGAAATTGAGTTTACCATTTCTGAAATCGAACTAACCAATTCTGAAATCGAGATTACTTTTTCCGAAATATAACTCACCGATTCCGAAATTGAAGTTGAAAAGGTATAGATCTGATGAGTAATTTCAACACCCTATATAGCGGAAACTAACCGTTTCCGGACCTATGTTTATAAAACTTTTTACTCATCTCAATGAGCACTATGCTTGATTGAAGTAAAGCAGAAAAAAACTAAAAAACCCTGCATTGGCCTCGGGAGTTACCAGCGAAAGTAGTTGCCGATAACATGATAAGATCTCAATGGATTATAGAGGACTCTGCAGTTCTTATAATATACCACATATCAGTGCAAGATATGCCGGATTGTATTCCAGAAAAAATGGTAAATTTCGCCAATCCCTCTTTCTTACTCAAGTCTGAAATATTCCTTAGTCACTACTTCTATATTCGAATGTGCAAAACACGATCAGCTATAACTTACTCCGCTAAATTTATGGCCACTACGTGACATTCGTATATGTTTTATGTAGAGCAGCACATAAAATGTTCATAAATTATTTAAAATCTTACATTCGGATTCGGATGATAATGCATTTTACATAACTGCCGGCGTGTAGGTAACGGCCTCGATATCAAGAAGAATGAGGGTAGCATTTTTTATACAGTGTGAAGCAACATTACGAAACCCTCTTTCATCTTAATTCCAGAGAACAACAGGATCAAGAATATCAACAAAAACTCTCAATTTGCAGGTTATGATTTTTTCACATGTCAAAACGACTAAAACTGTCAATATAAGTAGACATCTTATGGAACTTTGACTCCACCACTGGAATAACTTGGTGTTCAATTAGGATAATCCGGGATATTCCCAAAATCATAGAAAAATATTGATTACCAAAATCATTGAAATCGGAATAATATTTCATGAAACAAGCATATATTGAAGTATTGATAGGCGAGTGTAGTAAACCGTGTGAGAGTTTGTTAAGTCATTACGATATCGTTGCATATTAGTAGTACAGGGTGTTTCATAATTGAATGTCAATATTTGGGGGGGGGGGCGAGGCGATTCTTGGGCCCATTCTAAGAAGAAAGTTTCATATGAACGTATGACCTAAACGTCTTAACTTCTGAGATACAGGGTGGTAAAGTTCTCAAAAATTAATAGTTTTTTATCAATATCTGTAATATCACTTCAGATATTCTAATGAAATTTGGTATACATGTACTATGTATCAAGAGGCATCAGTTAGTGTACCACTTTTTTTTTGGTTGCCAACAGTGGCGTTCGTATGGAACTTCACATAGCTATTTTGGAAGACATTGATGGTACGCCACTGATTAATCTCGAAATTGAAATCATTCCTGAACTTCAAATCATTTCTAAGAAGATTTGATCACTACAATATTTTCAATCTGATGCACGACTTTCGCTTAAAAAAATAAAAAAACTGTCCACTACATGATTATAGCAATATCGTTAATATGACAATATCACAATGCAGAGAAATAGATTTTATTATTTGGATCAAATTTCAGGAATACAATCCATAGTTTATGAATTTCGTATTCGTATTTTGTATTTTGGAATCTTTTATACAAGATTGCCGTTGTGTGGCACGCGTCAAACTTCATTCACATACATTTTGGACTACAGTGTCTCACGTATATTTGGGTTATTATTCACTGTCAGTCACAATGTCTGATTTGAGATCATTGAACTCTATAAAAGTTATCCTTGTTCATGGAAAGTGAAAAGCTCTGATTACGAAAATCGAAATAAAGAAGATGCAGCCTATGCAGTCCTATTGAAAAAATTGCAAGAGATTGAGCCAAATGCAACAAAAAAAAACGGTGAAAGCTAAAATAAATAGCATTCGCGGTAGTTTCCGGAGAGAAATGGAGAAAATTAGTGTGTCAAAACGATCGGGTAGAGGAGCAGAGGAAGAGTATACGAGACCCATTTATGGTATGAAACCTACTGCTATTCACAAAGGATCAAGAAATACCTCGTGATTCGGTCTACAATTTGGTTGAAAATCAGGAAGATGGGAGGAGAAGCGAGCAGAAAACTGATGATGACAATGTGGAGTTATATCATATTTCATTGCTGTTGAAAAATATAGCTTTGCAGGTCTCTGGTATTATTTTTCCCAACGACTGAGGGAAATCAGGAATTCCTTTCATAGTCACTAAATAGCGAAGTGTGGCTGTCAACCGCTCATGTGGTGATATTCGCGAAAATCACGAACCAATAGATGGCTCTATTAAACGTCAATTCAACGTCAAATGTATCACACTACAATTCAACAGTTTTCAAACATATGGAATGGAATGGTCCACTCAACACTTGCATGGACTGGAATGGAGCCATAAAAGCAATCAGCTATTACAACAATATGGTATAGGTATGAAGAAATAATTGAATTCATCAAGAAATCTCACTGGCTTTTATGAAGGAGATGGAATTCTAGTGAAGGGGCTGGGAAAAGAAGATATGGTTGGAGAGGCTGCTCAGAATGAACAATATCATCGATTTACATAAACAAGGATCTCCAGCAATTGAAGACTTGAAGTTATTCTCAAGATCGAATCATTGCAACCAACATTTATACAAGGATTCTAACTGTGCTTCAGAAAATGTATATTATATTATTATAAGGTAGGTACTGGCTCTTC